ATCATTTTGTAATAGAGTCGTGGAGTCATACAGCGCGGAAACAGACCCTTCGGTCCAACATGCCCATGCCAACCATGTTTCTCAAACTGAACTAGTCCCATTTAATGTGCATTTCGCCTATATCCCTCTAAACATTTCCAATTCATGTATCTGTCCAAATGTCTTTTAAATGTTGTAATTGTAACGACCTCTACCACTTACTCTGAATGTTCGTTCCATATGCACACCAACTTCTTTGTGAAAAAGTTGCCCCTCAGGTCTACTTTTCAATCTTTCCCCTCTCACCTTAAACCTATGCCCTCTAGTTTTGGACTCCTCTCCGCTGGGGAGAAGACTTTGGCTGTTCATCTTGTCTATGCCGCTCATGATTTTATAAACCTCTATAAGATCACCCCTCAACCTCCTACGCTCCAAGGGAAAAAGTCCCAACCTACCAGCCTCTCCTTATAACTCATCAAGTTTCTACTAATCTGGGTATTCGAAGATTGAGGTTGAAGTGTATGAAGTTTGGGTTGGAAGCAGCGTAGGTTGAACAGTTCAATAATCTGTAGATTATTTGCTGAGGCTGAAGAGCAGCAAGGAAAATGGGGAAGAGGGTTGGTGCAATGATTCACTGAAATAACTCCACAGAGGCTGGTATCCCATCACCAAGTCACCCTTTATTTACACGTGGAGAGTCCTTGTTGCTGATCCAGCTCCCTCAGAGCCAGCCCTCAGAGTGAGCAGAATCTGTGACCCTTCAGGTTAACAGACCCAATCAGGGAACTCATGTTCTATAAGGTCCACCTGGCTGACCTCATTACAGTCACTGCATTCACCTTTTTTGAACCTAGTCTTCACTCAGTTAGGATCCTCTGGTGGTTCCATTGGTGAGGAGCACAGTTCGCATGTCATTGTGAAGTAGGTGCAGGGTATGTAGTAAGGGCTACCAAGAAGATATTCCATAAGCTTGTAAAATTTCAGAGACTAAGGCCTTTGAGATGTCTATAGAAGCACTGTCCAGTGGTGGCTGCTATCCCCTTTCTTCAACTGGCCATACAATGAGGATCGTGCCTCTGGTGAAAGCAAAATGCTGTGGAGATGATGGACAGCTGAAACAAACACACAGAATGCTGGAGACAAGAGGAAGAAGAGTCACATTGAACTCAAAATGTTAACTCTATTTTTCTGTCCACAGATCTGCTAAGTTCTCCAGCGTTCCACATTTTTGTTTTGTGTCTGTGATGCCTTACAATTGATGAAAACTGCAATGTGTCTCAGGAAGGAACTCTTCAGTCATTGGGGAGGGGGGAGGAACCCTGTAGTGGGGCTTTCTCTGATAGAGACAGCAGGGAGACTCCTCTGCAGTTAACACAATTGGATTTCTCACCCAACTTGATTTTGTCATGGTCAAACTCTCCCTGAAATGGCATGGCGATAGAGTCACCAGGATAATAATCTAGGCTAATGCTGTGGTAAACAAAGACAGAACTGCTGGCGAAACTCAGCAAGTCTGTTGGCATCTATGAGAAGAAAAGCAGAGTTAACATTTCAGTCCAGTGAGTCTCCATCAGAACTGGTCTTGGTACCTGGGTTCAAATCCCACCACTTCGGCAGATAGTGGGATTGTAATTCCATTAATTAATCCGGAATGTAAAACTGGCCTCCATGATGGAGACCATAATGTTATCATAAGAGAAGGTACAACTTCTTAACGTTTCCCGCCAGAAATGTATGAGAATTTCTCCAGACGTGATAAACAGTATAGGTTTTCTATCTAGTGGCTGTGAAAAGATATCAGTGATATGACATGAATGGATTACACCATGAATTCCACAGCTCAAATTTAATTGTGAAAACAGAGACCTCTATTGGTCTTCCTACTTTACAACAAGGACTGAACTTTAGAGGTACCCCCTCGGCTTCATTGGTGTACAGTGCCTTGATTGTGTTACAACTGGTCCCTGGGTGAGGGCACCCAATTTGTTAAGCACCTGGATGAGCAGACGATTAACTCGCTCCTCTTCAATCCCTCCCTCAGCTGGTCGCAATAAGGTTAAATTAAAACGAATCCCTTCCCTGTGAGTACCTTTTCCCGTACTTAACCAGGCTTTCTTAAGTTAACAGAAGAGAGAGTTTATTCGCCACTAAGTGTGATCAAAGATAACAGAACATGATGCACATGCACGTGGATTAGAAATGAGAGATGAGTTTATAAACTGAAGTAAATGAAGAATATACTTTAGCTTATCTGAGTTGAATAGCTGGTAAAATTTTACACACGTTCAGCTAGAAGATTCTGGTGGCTCTAACCTTGGCAGTTGAGTAGTTATAGAGTCACGGAGCCATAGATGTATACAGCATGGAAACAGACCCTTTGGCCCAGCTCATGCATGCCGACCAGATATCCTAAACTAATCTATTCTCATTTGCCAGCATTTGGCCCATATCCCTCTAAACCCTTCCTAATTGCATACCCATCCAGATGCCTTTTAAATGTTGTAATTGTACCAGCCTCCACCACATCCTCTGGCAGTTCATTCCATACATGCATCACGCTCTGTGTGAAAAAGTTGCCCCTCAGGTATCTTTTAAGTCTTTCCCCTCTCACCTTAAAACTATGCCCTCTAGTTTTGGGCTCCCCTACTCTGAGGAAAAGACCTTGGCTATTGACCCTATCCATGGCCCTCATGATTTTGTAAACCTCTAGAAGGTCTCCCTTCAGCCTCTGACACTCCAGGGAAAATAGCCCCAGCCTGTTCAGCCTCTCGCTGTAGCTGAAACCCTCCAACCCTGACAACATCCTTGTAAATCTTTTCTGAACTCCAGTCGATTGAAGATCCTTAATCCTACCACTAGCTGAAAGACGTTTGGTCAGTTCCCATCAAAAGTGGCTTTGTGACTTTTCAGCAAACAGAGCGTGACTTTGAAGAGAATCTTGGACTTGAAAGACATGGTGCATGGTGAGAGATCTGGGAGAAGTGGTCAAGAAGTTGGGCAAGGTGTCTCTTGATATCAGGAGCAGCTCATCAACATTTTCAACAGAATTTCGCCGTTGAGACCAGATTCCTGGCGAGTTTCCTACTTACAGGGAATATAGCTTGTCGTCAATCTTAATGAGTGCGAATCTCACCTCACGATTACCCAGCTTCCTCTCTGACCGACAGCAGCGGGGAAAATTAGGTGTCGACAATTTCCGACGTCAAAGTCAGCGAGGGAATCTAGTGACTTCAACTGGCGGCTTGCTCCAGTGAGCCATCAGCTCGGACACCCAGCGACAACGTCTCTGTGCACCAGCCTCATATGACCTGTTGTCTCGTCACCTTGGCATCTCACACATGCCAACCTCTAAGAAGCCTAATGGGTGGGGGGGTTCCTTTCTGATCCACTTGCAGGACGCTTCTGCAGCTTAAAGCTGCAGTCTGAGGAATGCTGACGACTTAACAACTGAACTCTGAAACGAGCGAGGACACGTTGCGCACAGGGACAGGTACCTAGCTCATGGACTGAACCAGGCTGTGTCACCAGAGTCCTGAGGAAGGGTCACTGGACCCAAAACGTTAACTCTGACTTTCTCTTCACAGATGCTGCCAGACCTGCTGAGCTTCTAACCCCTCCTCTCTCTATTTATTTTGGAGCTCGCTTTCCCCTCCCCCAATTCTGAAGAAGGGTCCCGACCCGAAACGTCAGCTTTCCTGTTCCTCTGATGCTGTCTGGCCTGCTGCGCTCCTCCAGCTCCACACTGTGTTATCTCAGACTCCAGCAACTTCTGTTTTTGTTCCAGGCTGCATATCCCGCTTATTGTCTTGGTCTCTGAATGCTCACTCGCCTTGAGCCGACCTGGATGCTCACTCCATCCCTGCCTAGTCTCTCTGTGCTTTGCCCTGACGATCAGAGCTACCAGGCTGACATTCTTTCTGTCTTACTATACCATCTGGTGCAGGCACAAAGCTTGTCATGCTTATCAGCAGGCCAGAATCATCTCAAGGGAGGCAGAGGGTACAGTTAGTTGAGGGCCAGACTCTGGTATCAGTCCAGAGGAATGGCACAGTCAGTTGGCCACTCAGAGTGCTCCAAGCTGGCTCCCTTTCCATCATAGAGGCTGAAGAGCTAAATGTTTGTCAGCTTGGCACCTGTCTTGGCTCTTTCTACCCTGTTTTCTCCTGGAGTTAAATAAAGGGAGGGGTTGAATGAGGTGGCAGCAGCTGGCACAGCTGGTGGAGATGTTGGAAAGGTGATAAGTTGTCCTGCAATGGTAAGTAGGCAGCACAGAGGGCATGCTAGGCTAGTGTTGTGGGGAAGGGGGGGTGGTGCGGAGGAATTGGGTAGGTGAGAGCAAGTGAGGGAGGATGTTGCAGGCAATAGTGAAAGTGGTCGAATACAACCATTGATTGGAGGTGGGTACAATAGCAGAGGTGGAGTGGGTGTGAGGGAGCAGAGAACAGATAGCGGCACTTGTCCTGGTGGAGCAGAGAAGGTCATTGATGTTTCTCCTTCAATGCCCGGCATTCCCCCAGATGCCTGAGCTCACAATGATCTGTGTGGCAAAACCAGGCTGACAAGGTCCTGGGATAAACTCTGCACTACTCCATTCATCAGGACCCTATCCGTAAAATGGTGCGCCGATTTCCCCTTATCTGTCATGTCCCAATCATGGAATGTCACACCTGAAGAGTGTCAAAAGGACCTGCACATACAGGAGTGTCGAATGAAAATTCTCAGCTGTGTCCCTCCCTAGTCCGGTGGATATTCCATGTGACTCCTCTTGGAATTCAGTGTAACCCAAGCAGAGCTTTTAGCATACAATTGAATTTACAGCGTAAGCCATCTTTTGACGTGTGGTTCTTTCTTTTCAAAAGACACAAGTTGCACTTAAAAGTTCAATACATTGTAAGTAATTCAGCATTTTGACCCATTCTCATGAGATCTGTGAAAGGTGCTATGAAAATGTTAATTCATGTAAATGCAGTCTGAAGAGTCAGCAATTTGTCCACATTGCTTTCCCCTTTCTCCTCATACAGTGGTACCCAGAAGTGAAACGGCACTGCCCCAACGCTCCCATCATCCTCGTGGGCACCAAGCTCGACTTACGTGATGACAAAGAGACCATCGAGAAACTAAGAGGGAGGAACCAAGCCCCCATTACCCACGAAGAAGGTGTACAGTTAGCAAAGGAGATTGGTATGTGACATTCTCGCGAGAGGAGTTCTGATGACTCTTACATGCCAAGTTGACCGTTGTCAATCTCATAAGTGATAACAGGGGCACAGTGTGCTCTATGGTAAACGGAGTGCTCCATTCTGGAAAGCTAGTTGGTGAAAGATGGTACTGGAGTCAATCTTGACTCACTCTTACATTTATTTACAGTGTGAAACATTGCATGCATGCATCTCCTAGCTCAACTGCAACACACTTTCATTAAGTGCCTGCTTGTCCGTGATAAAGTGAAACGCCAAGAAAATGCTCCCCTCCCCAACAAAAATACAATTAAGCACTAATTATGGTTGGACCTACACGCAATGATGGTCAGAAAAATGAGAACGATCATACAGGATTCCAAGGGAGCTCGACAGGGTCGATGTTGAGTGGATGCCTTCTTATTGTGAGGGACTCTGGCACTACAGGGCACCGTATCAAAATGAATAGTGTCCAATTTAAGACAGATGTGAGAAGGCCTTTCTTCTCTCAAAGGGTCATTAGTATTTGGAAAGCTTTCTTTTCCCAGCAAAGGACAGTGGAAATTGAGTTTTTGAACAGATTCAGGCTGAGCTGAACAGGTTGCGGATCCACGAGCAGGTTATTTATGGGGTAGGGGTCAGGCAAGATGGTGGAGTTAAGGACTCCAGGTCAGCCATACTTGACAGAATAAGTTGAGGGGCCAAATGGCCTATACTGCTCCCATTCCCTACATTCTAAAACAGAAGGGGATCCAGCAATCAAGTCCAAGACATAATTGAGAAACCCCTAGCCCCTAAACTAACCCTAACCCTACCCTAACACTAACCCTAACTAACCCTTACCCTAACTGACCCCTAACCCTAACGTGAACTAACCTTAAACCTAGCTAACCTCTAACCCGTAATCTAACTGAACCCTAACCCTAACCCTAACCCTAAACCTAACTCTAACCCTAACCCTAACCCTAACCCTAACCCTAACCCTAAAACTAACCCTAAACCTAACTCTAACCCTAAACCTAACCCTAAACCTAACCCTAACCCTAACTCTAACCCTAACACTAACCCTAAACCTAACTCTAACCCTAAACCTAACTCTAACCCTAACTAACCCTTACCCTAACTGACCCCTAACCCTAATATGAACTAACCCTAAACCTAACTAACCTCTAACCCTTAATCTAACTGAACCCTAACCCTAATCCTAATCTGAACTAACTCTAAACTTAACTAACCTTTAGCCTTAACCCTAACCCTGAACAACCCTACCTCTAACCCTGACTAGACCTAACCCTGTTGAATATTAACACCTTGTCCACAGCTGAACTTCCTGCATTTCTACATTCCTAATATCCTCCCCATTCTCCAATAAGGAGAGGGCAGGCAAGACCTGTACGCTGAAGTCCACCATTTGTATATTGGTATAGGCCGATAAGTTGGTGCTGTGCCCACCTAGCAAAACTAACATTGGGACCTCTGCCTGTGTAGATCAGTGGACTAACTCCTGCTCACAGTGCCCCAGTGTGTGCGTACTAATTGGATTATGAAGCGATATTTTGATTATGATCAGAAGGGTAATCTTTTGTAAAAAACCAGCCTGGATGTGAAGTTGGGAAGAGCAGGATCCTCTATAGACCTCACATTCAAGGAGCGAGCCCTCCCATCCTTGTCTCTCAGCATAATGTCCAACCACAGCTTCCCACCAGCACTCCCATCCATACTTACCTGAGGCACAAGTGGCTGAGGTAAATGGGGCCCTGAGATCATCGAGCCACAACTAATCATACACAATCACCACCCCCCCTGCCCTCTCCACCCTTCACTCAGTCATAAAATGACTGTAGGGGAGGCAATGGCCTAGTGGTATTATCACTGGACTGTTAATCCAGAGACCCAGATAATGGTCAGGGGACCCAGGTTCGAATCCTATCATGGCAGATGGTGGAATTTGAATTGAATAAATATCTGGAATTAAGAATCTAATGATGACCATGAATCAGTTGTCAATTGTCAAGAAAAACCCATCTGGTTCACTAATGTCCTTTAGGGAAGGAAACTGCCATCTTTACCTGGTCTGGCCTACATGTGACTCCAGACCCACAACAATGTGGTTTCTTAACTGTCCTCTGGGTAATTAGGGATGAGCAAAAAATGCTGCCTGGCCAGCAATGCCCTCATCCTGTAATGGAAAAAGCTAAATGTCTAAACCCCTTCATATTGACAATAATCGGTTCATACCACATCCACAAGGCCAACACAACCAGCCTTTTTTTATTCATTCACCAGATGTGGGTGTCACTGGTTAGGCAAGCATTTATTGCCCGTCCCTAATTGCCTAATGGTTGTTAAGAGTCAACCACTTTGCTGTGGGTCTAGAGTCACATGTAGGCCAGAAATCACAAGGATGGCAGCTTCCTTCCCTAAAAGACATGAATGAACCAAATGAGTTTTTCCTGACAGAATCGGCGACCACCTCATGCTCATCATTAGACTCTTAATTCCAGACTTTTTAAAATTATTGAATTCAAATTCCACCATCTGCCATTGCGGGGTTCAAACCCAGGTCCCTGGAGATCTTGTGGTGTGGTTATAGCGTCCCTACCTCTGAGCTAGGAGGTGTTGGTTCACATCCCACCTGCTTCAGAGGTGTGTCATAACATCCCTGGATATTTTGATTAAAATCCCCGTCATAACATGACTGAACAGGTTGATTAAATTAACCAAACGCAGGACCCCATAGCATTACCAGCACCTATCTAGTGATAATACCATGAGGCCATTGCCTCCGCCACCCCTCAGGAGAATGAGCCTCAGTTGACCATCTGCCATTCCTATCAGGGACTTGTAGGCCTCAGGCTCATGACTGTCCATCCATCCACTACGGGAAAGACAGGAAACAACCTGATTAAAAATATAAACAGAAGAGAAGCGCTGAAAAATGTTTCTTTCTTATTTTCAACTTGCACAGGAGCTGCAAAGTTTATTGAAAGTTCTGCCTACAAACAGAAAGGCCTAAAGACAATATTTGATGAGGCCATTCGAGCTGTGATCTTCCAACCCGTGCAGAAGAGAAGGATACCCTGCTGTATTCTGTAGAATAAATATCAGGAGGTTTTTGGTTTGGATGGGTCAGATCTCTGGCCTTTTCTGAGACACGGAGTGACCGCCACAGAACTTAGAATTGATTGGAATTTTCGTTGTTGATTTTTCTCCCTGCCTACAGCTATGAAGGAGACTATGTGCCCTTCAGTTAGTCCCACCCTCCCTCCTGGCCCATCTCTGCCCCATTGTTCAGCAACGTTTGTCCCCTTGTCCAATGCCCTTTTCAAAGGTACTATTGAACCGGCCTCCAGTCTCTGGTCATTCTCACTGATGTTCATGTCACACAAGATAACTGGCAGTGCCACTGGCCACGCTGGGAGGGAATGAGGCACTAAATCCTGGTGGGGAAAGGCACGTGAAGCTTTCTTGTCTCAATGGCACTGAGACTTGTGGTTCAAAGTTCAACGGTTAACAGGTAGGAAAAAGCTACGGTACAGGGAGCAATTGGATGGTGCATCTGATCTCTCTGTCTGTGACCCCACTAAACCTGATGGCTACAACATCTCTGTACAAACCTGCATAGTCTCTGCTCCCATCGAAGTCGGCAAATAATTCCAACAAAATCACGTTGTCTGATCCTTCTCGAATTCCAGAATAATGTTTTACCTTGATTGCTAATCATTGAGCAGTTTATCTATTTCTTTACTTGTGGCTTCTTGAAATAAAGTTTACAGAACAAAAAACAAATTTCTGACGAAATATTCAAGTACTCGTCCCATTAAGTGGACAAATTCAAAGTTACTTTGTTCATGTTATCTAAGAATTCTGTTTTAATGCCCCTGTATTTCCGTTTGGATACCTGCATTGCTGAAGTAAAATTGTGGGACAATTTAGCAGTTCATTAGTGAAAATAAGCCACTTTGACTGGCCAGGACTGAGGCTACAGCACCTAGAGTCCTAACAATCACTGGCGTAGCCAAACATTCATTACATTTGTGCACTGTTTCATGAAGCTAAAGGGAATACACAGTTGCTGTGTTGAGGGGAGTTTATGTCAAATACTCAGGGATCCAGGAAACAATGGTCAATAGCTCATTTACAAAGCACTTTGTCACCCTCTAGCAGTGAGAGGAAAGAACTGCATTATACAGTGTATCATTCCTACATTGAGCCTGTCTTTAGACTTAAAGATTTCTCACATAAGACGGTCAGGACACATGAATTTTGCCAATTTATCCAAGCTTGTGTTTCCTGGAATGGGTCACAACCCTGCTATACCTTGGGGGTGGGGAGGGGTGCCACTCTGCATCAAGCATGGCTGACCTGGGAGCCTAGTCCTCTCTTTGTTAACCACTGTCGGCCTTTTCGTCATATTGCCGCACTGTGAGTTTGTGTTCAAGACAGGATGGTTGAGGAAAAGGCAAAGTTAATAACCAACTACAGGCTAACACTATTATTCATTGTTTATTTATTTATTATTCATTTTTAAAAGAAGTTTACAAAATCATGAGGGCAATGGAGAGGGTGAATAGTCAAGGTCTTTTCCCAAGGTAGGGGAATCTAAAACTAGAGGACATAGGTTTAAGGTGAGAGGGGAAAGATTTAAAAGGGACCTGAGGTGCAACTTTTTCACACAGAGGGTGGTGTGTGTGTGGAATGAGCTGCCAGAGGAAGTGGTGGAGGCTGGTACAATTACAACATTTAAAAGACATCTGGATGGGTACATGAATAGGAAGGGTTTAGAGGGATATGGGCCAAACGCTAGCATATGGGACTAGATTAATTTAGGATATCTAGTCGGCATGGACAGGTTAGACTGAAGGGTCTGTTTCCATGCTGTACAACTCAATGACTCCATGATTCTAACTATGCACTTGAGCCCCCAAAGTCCCTTTGGACATTCACTGTATTTAACTACATACCATCTGGAAAGTACCCTGCCCTATCCTTTCTCGGTTCAAAATGGAGAACCTCAGTCTTGCTCATGTTGAACTCTATCTGCCTCAGTTTTGCCCATTCACTCAGTCTGTCGATATCCCTTTGAAATTTTGTGCCATCATCTACATTGTTTTGGAGGAAAGGGTGTCCACAAGGGAAGGGATCTGTTTTTCAATGAACCCCATGGCAACCAACTGAGTGGGGGTGTGGTGTGGGGGGAAGTGTGTGATTAAAGAAGAGGGGGGCAGTTCATCCCTCCTCACTCAGGAGCCTACAGTTTGCAGTATCCCAACTGGAACCCCCAGGGTCTGGCCATCATAGTATTATAGAATCATACAGTCATAGAGATGTACAGCACGGAAACAGACCCTCTGGTCCAACCTGTCCCTGCTGGCCAGATATCCAAAATTAATCTAGTCCCATTTGCCAGCATTCGGCCCATATCCCTGTGAACTCTTCCTATTCATATACCCATCCAGATGCCTTTTAAATGTTGTAATTGTACCAGCCTCCACCACTTCCTCTGGCAGCTCATTACATACACATACCACCCTCTGTGTGAAAAAGTTGCCTCTTAAGTCCCGTTTAAATCTGTTCCCTTTCACCTTAAACCCATGCCGTCTAGTCTTAGACTCCCCTACCCTAAGAAAAAGACCTTGGCTATTTACCCTATCCATGCCCCTCATGATTTTATAAACCTCTATAAGGCCACCCCTCAGCCTCCGACACTCCAGGGAAAATAGTCCCAGCCTATTCAGCCTCTCCCTACAGCTCCAAGCCTCTTTAAAATGCTATGGACAAGTACAGAAAATAATCGGGAAAGCTAATGGAATGCTGACCTTTATATCTACAGGACTGCACTAGGATGCAGAAGTTATGCTGCAGTTACACAAAACCCTGGATAAACCCCACTTGGAGCACTGTGTGCAGATCTGGGTACCACACCTTAGGAAGGATATATTGACCTTGTAGGGAATACAGCGTAGGTTTACAAAAATGATACCTGGGCTTCAGGGGTTAAGTTATGAGGAGAAATTATACAAATTAGGCCTGTTTTCTCTAGAGGAGATCTCTAAGGGGAGATCTGATGGAAGTCCTCAAAATATTAACAAGAAAAGACGGGATAGGCAAATATAAACTGTTTCCACTGGTTAGGGATTCTAGTGCTGGGGGCATAGTCTGAGAATTAGGGCCAGACTGTTGAGGAGAGATGTTAAGAAACATTCCTCTGCACAAAAGCGTGATAGATGTTTGGAACTCTCTTCTACAAATGGCAGTGGATGCTGGATCATTTGTTAATTTTAAATCTGAGATAGATACATTTTTGTTAAGCAAAGATATTAAAGGATATGGATCAAAGGCGGGTGTACGGAGTTATTCTAGACATCAACCACGGTCTCATTGAAAGACTTAACAGGCTTGAGGGGCTAAATGGCCAATTCCTGTTCCTATGTTCCTGCATTTCTATGTTCCTGCATTTCTATGTTCCCAGACCAAATGAGTATACATTTTCAAAGGAGACATTTTGAGCAAGCTTTCAAAGAGTGTGTTTATTAATCATTAAACGCAAGAAGAAGGAGGTGTGTGTTTTGGTGGTGCAGGGACTTGAGTATTGCTGAAAAAGACACATTTTGTTGAGGTTTGTTGCTTGCACTCATCAGGACAATTGGCAAGACTACCAACGGAATGGTGAGCATAGTATATCAGTACAGAATACTGTTCCGTTTCACATCGGTATTCTTGTGAATTGTGCTGACGAGTACAAGATGAAAAACTTTGCCAAAATGTGTCTTTTTCCTTCAGTGTACAGTAAAGATGGTGGATGGAGGACTGTGTCCATGGCACTGTGTATCTGGGCCAACAGAAGAATGGTGGGATGAAGGGAAACAGTGATAACTGAGACCATTGATTAGATTTTTATTCCGGGCCTGGGAACTGTGGCAGGGAGATCCAACTTGGCTTCAATCACAGTTTACTTACCAACTTTATGACACAAGGGGTTAAAAGTCAGGTCGAAGTGGCTGTCATAAATATCGGGTGGCTAAAGGTGAGGGAACTGAGAGAAGGAAAGTGCTGTGACACTCAGTGAGTTTTCTCTTTGTTATCGCATATGAGGAAACCTCTCAAAAATTTAAAACATCCACCCCTGTAGATCTCTTTGGGCTCTGGCTCAAATAACTATCTTCATTGACATGTTCTCTGCCACAGAAAGCAGTTGAAGACAAAACATTGAATGTTTTCAAGAAGGAGTTAGATATACTTAGCGTTAAAGGGATCAGTGGTTATGGGGCAAAATTGGGAACAGATCTGGACAATCAGTCATGATCATACTGAATGGCAGAGTGGTCTTGATGGGCCGAATGGCCCGCTCCTGCTCCTATTTTCTATGTTTACAATGAAACTGTTGCTTCTCCTCTGAGTTTCAGGTAAAATAGTAATCAGTCCCCAATAATTTAATTGTATTAAACCACATTTTGCAAGGTTTGGGACGGATTGGAGAGGGTTGGTCCATTTATTTCCCATTCTCTCAGCCTTGCCCTTCTCTGCCTTCCAGAGATTGGGCAGGACAAGCTAAGATCAACCTAACAGGAGAAGTAAGTACAAACTGTGTCCCTCAGCACAGGCACTCAGGCCATTAGAACGCAGTACTAGGGAGGGGGCACGATGCTGAAGGAGGGGTCACCTTTCAAATGAAATTTTAAACTGAAGCCTTGTCTACTTCTTCTGATGGATGTAGAAGATTTCCATAGTCACTAATTTAACAAGGAATAAGAGAAATACCCGTGGTGTACTGGCCTCACATTGGGGGGGCACTTGTCTGTTAGCTCATTTGGCTGGTCTTTTGAAGCAGAGTGAAGCCAACAGCGTGGGTTCAATCCCTGTACCAGCTAAGGGTGCTGTGATGCCCTACCTTCTAGACTTCTCCCCCCTCATGTGAGGTGTGGTGAACCTCAGGTTAAACCACCACCAGTCATCTCTCTCTAGCGAGACCTGTGGGACTGTGGTGACTTTACTGACAAATGTTTATCGCTCAGCTAGTGACTCTTTTAAACAGTTTATCTGATTGTTATCACGTGACTATTAGTGACAGCGAGCACAATTGGCTGCCACATCTCACCAGTGACTAGGCCGCGTAAGTACTTTGCCAGTTGGAAAGGGCTTCGGGTATTTGTAGGTTGTGAAAGGTGCCGGTTTAAAAGTGAAATAAAACAAAGAACTGCAGCTGCTGGGAATCAGAAATAAAAATTTCTGGAGAAACTTGGCAGATCTGTGGAGAGAAAACAGCATTGACGTCTCAAGCCCAGTGAGTCCCATCGCCAGACCTGCCGAGTTTCTCCAGCAAATTTTGACTGCAAGTTGTTCTTGTTTTAATATCCATCTGTAGCCGTGCTCACACCCCCACAACCCCCTGTCACAGCACAAATCTGCAATCTTGTCCTGCCCTGAGATGTCTGCACTCTTCCAATTCCGGCCTCTCGTGACGCCACCTTTAGACACTTTACTTTTGGGAGTCATATCTTCAGCCGCACGGGCCTTCAGCTCAGGAGCTTCCTTTTCAAACCTCATTGTTTGTCATCCACTCTCTCCTTCTTAAATAAACTCCTAAAAACCTACCTCTTTGACAGACGTTCTGG